ACTGTGACTCAAGTGGTAGAGCACTAGCCTTGAGCTGAAGAGCTGAGGGACAGCACCCAGGCCCAGAGTTCAGGCCCCACGACCGGACACCCCCCCCCAAAAAAAAGAAAAAAGAAAACAAGCTGTTTTGTTGGTGGGCAGGGTCAGGGAAGGGTTGGGAGGGGTAGAGAAGGTGAGGGAATGAGACAAGCACACACAAATGCAACTAAAATCCTGTATCTTCTTTCCTAAGCTGCTACTGTAAGGAACCACAAATGGAAGGAACAAATCACAGTGTTAAATAGTGTTTCCTTCCTTCTTTCTTCAATCCATCTTTGTTTCTTCCTATACAGAAACAGACCTACCTCACAGTTATTATTCACATCCATATTATCACCTTTCCTATAGACTTCCATTAAAGTTAACTGTAAGCCAGGTACCAGTGACTTACGCCTATAATCCACCTACTCAGGATGCTGAGATATGAGGAACAGAGTTGCAAGCCAACCCAAGCCAAAAAGTCCATGAGAAATTTATCTCTAACCACCAAAAAGCCAAAAAGAGTGGAGCACCAGCCTTAAGCAAAAAAAAAGCTCAATGACAGCATCCAGACTCTGAGTTCAAATCCCAGAACCAGTACCAAAAAAAAAAAGAAAAAAGTTAACTGTATTTGTTCTAACTCTATTCCAACTAAATAGTCTTACATTAGGAAATTTCAGACTGGTCCAAGTCAATTGTGTGAAATTCTATCAGTTACAAAAGACAATTTTAAAATGTTAGAAACAAAGAGAATACTCAATATACTTTCTAAATTATTACTGAGTTCAACTTACCTTAAATGTCCCTGCATTTCACATACATAAAATGTCAGGAAAGGAAATTCTCTAAGTCAAAAGACCTGAGTTCAAACTGTACACATGCCAAAGATTAGGTCAGAAATAAGAAGCTGACTTTGATTCTTTAGCAGGTGATTTTATGTTTCAATACAAAATTTCCTCTGGCTGAAATCTATTTTACCTTTCTCTCCTAGAGAAATCTCATTCACCTTCCACAAAACCTTCCTGCAAAACTACTCTCTATACCTTGGGCCACCATGACTATATTACATCTATTACAAATTACTTGATATACTACCTACTGTCCCACGTCTTGAACAGTGCCTGACACACAACAGATGTAGAGGCTGTGTTTAAAGATTGGAGTCTACAGTTTAATTAGGTTCCTATGAAGTTTCCATAGACACCATCTGGGAGATTAGCTTATTCTGAAGACACACAGAGACCAATATGCAGAACAACCAAAGCTTTGTCCCAGGCGACCTACATATGCAGTGCAAATTTATCCACAGCATTTGTACAAAAGCTACACAAAGGTATCACTCCTCAAAATGATCTCGGCATCCTTGAAGATTTTCCTAAGCTACCTAAACTCCCTACCCAAAACCCTCTTTACCCTGCTCTCCTTTCTTCCATGGCATTTATGCCCTTCTTCCACACTACACAATTTACTGATGTTTAGTATTTACAGGTAGTTACCAGAACATAAGCTCCACTAAAGCAGACTTTCATCTGTCTTGTCATAACAGATACCTTGTATCTGCAGCAGTGCCAGGAGTAGTGGAAGTTTTTTTTTTAATCAATAATTCTTTCCTTCTATCTTATAGCTCTCAAGAGACATGACTCATCACCTTTATAACCCTATCTCTCATTGCCCTATTTCCCCTGCTCTATCCATGTGCAGAAGACTTCCTAGGAAGGTTCCAAGAACTGGAGGAAAATATTTGTACTTGTAAGCTTTAACTCTATCTCTGCTCACATATAGGTACAGAAATGGTTCAGGAAACTATTGTAAAATAATAAGAAGATGAAAAAAAGCAAAATCTTGTTTTTCTACTTCTGATAATAATTATGTCTATATGGTCTTCATTTGGGATTTTTTTAAGCCAGTACTGAAGCTTGAACTCAGGGCCTGAGCACTGTCCCTTAACTTTTTCCTTCAAGGCTGGCACTCTACCACTTGAGCTGTAACTCCATTTCAGGCTTTTTGCTTGAATATAAGAGTGTCACAGACTTTTCTGCCCAGAGTGGCTTTGAACCACCATATAAGTATCTCAGCTACCTGAGTATCTAGGATTATAGGCATGAGCCATTGGCTCTGACTTCCACTTTAGATTTGAAACCACATGGACAAACACCAAAACTAAAAATGCTTGATTAGCTTTTTCTTTTTTTTGCCAGTACTGGATCTTGAACTCAGGGCCTGAACTTCTTTTGCCCAAAGCTATTGCTCCACCACTTGAGCCACAGCTCCACTTTCACCTGGTTTTTGGGGGGTTGTTGTTTTTTGGGTTGTTGGTTTTTTTTTGGGGGGGTGGTAATTTATTGGAGATAAGAGTCTCATGGCCAGGTGCTGGTGGCTCAGGCCTGTAATCCTAGCTAATCAGGAGGCTGTGATCTGAGGATCATGATTCAAAGCTAGCCCAGGCAGTGAAGTCCAAAAGACTCATCTCTGCTGAAATGCCCAAAAAAGCCAGAAGTAGAGCTGTGGCTCAAGGGGTAGAGCATTAGCCTTGAGTACAAAAGCTAAGGAACAGCACCCAGGCCCAGAGTTCAAGACGAAGGAAGGAAGGAAGGGACGGAGGGAGGGAGGGAGGGATTGAGGGAGGGACGGAGGGACGGAGGGACGGAGGGACGGAGGGACGGAGGGACGGAGGGATGGAGGGATGGAGGGACGGAGGATCTCATGGATTTTCTTACCTGGACTGGCTTTGAACTGCAATCCTCAAATCCCAGCCTCCAGAGGAGCTAGGCTTACAAGCATAAGCCACCCATATCTGGCTGAAACTTTTTTGATTGCTAAGCATATGAGCAAAATATGTTGAGAATATATTGACTGCCTCTTGTGATCTGACTGAAAACATGTGCCCAAAGGACTGCAAACTGTCTACACTGTTATATACATTGGTTACAGTAAGATTTCCATATCTACCTAATATCTTTCAGGAAAAATGAACCCATCCACACTTCTGGATCTACTACATACTGAGCCACATAAAAATAGGACACTATTGTACTTATATTCAGAAAATAGCACTAAAACCTTCTCCATTCCCTAGTTTCAGCCAAATATGGTTCTTTCCCTGCTGCAACCCAATTTAGCTTATGTTCCAAAGACACAAGCCTATTACCAGTAACACTGCTATTTTGAACAGCTTTTAAATTCTTGAGAATAAAACATAAGCAATATAAGATTACATTCAAAATGAGAAGCTTCAAGCTGAGGAGCCTGGATATGATTATTAGAAATATGAAACAAAAGGTTTTATAAAGTCAGCCAGTTCTCTTACTCAACAGCACTACTTGACTGTGACAAACTTACAATCAACTGCTAAGATGAACCTAAGAGAAAGTTTTCAGACTCAAACTGTCAGTCAGCAGGCAGGCTGACACAAGCCAGGCTCCCAGTGTACACTGGAAATAGGGGCAAGTTGCTGTGGTGTGTAGTGGAAATAGCAGCAAGTCGGTTTGGCAGTGAGCCTTCCAGGATAGCTCAGTTTTCCTCAAACTATAAAATGACAGATAGGAGCATGTGATAATAAGGGTGAGTTGGGCTGGGAAGGTGGCTCAGTGGTAGAGCGCTTGCCTTGCATGTATGAGGCCCTGGATTCGATTCCTCAGCATCACATAAGAAGAAAAAGCCGGAAGTGGCGCTGTGGCTCAAGTGGTAGAGGCCCAGAGTTCAGGCCCCACAACCGGCAAAAAAAAAAAAAAAGTGAGTTAAATTCTCAGCTTTGAGATACAAATGCAATGCAAAAATTAACCTGTAAATGCGGCTCGTTTCAACCTTGGAGTTTTGATGACCTTACTAAACACATTGGGTGAATCACCAAGATGCCTCCAAGAGGAATTCCACAGGGTGTAACCTCTGTGTTGGAAGACCCGAGGTTGGTCGGCCGCCTCCCTACCTGGTCATCACACTTTCCAGTCCTTCCTTCTTCATCCCACTCCCCCCACTCCTGCCCCAAACTTACTGGTGATAAGCGGTGAGTGAAAACAACGGCCAGCATTAACAAAGGATGCGCAACACCCCCCCCTCCCATGGGCCTCACCAACGCAGAGGACACGCTTCAGACCCTATTTGGCGATGATCTCCAGAAGATAAAACTCCGGAGCTCGGCGGCGCGGAAGCCCGGCCGGAGGAGTGCCTGCGGCGGCCCCGGCGACCTGACCCCATGGCCAGCGCATCCTGCGCCTGAAGCAGCCCCGGCTGGACCTGCCCTCCACAGCACCTGTCAGCCCCACTTCCCACCCCGACGACCTACGGACCTTCACACGGGTCCTGGGAGATGATGGGGGAGGGAGGGGGGGAAGAAATGCTCTTCTCTGCTTCGGGAACCGGGAAAGGGCGAGGGGAGGCGGGACGCGTCGGGGAGGATGCAAACCAAGCCCGGGCTGAGAACGGGCAGAGACGGGAGTGGGGGAGAAATCCCCGACGCGGACACGGGGACCCCGGGGTGGGGTGGGGGGGGAGAAGCCTCCTTCCTACGGAAAGGCTGCCGGCGAGGCGGGAACGGCCGGCCCCGG